TTACATTAAATGTATTATAGTATATATTATTTGTTTTAATCGTTGTAAAAAATCGGTTTCAAAATGTAATCGAGTCTCTTCAAGTTTGAGTATAGTGTTCGCAGTCGGTATCGAACGTGGGCCGCAAAAGTTGACTGCGTGTGGGAACTCCGACCAGGTTGCCAAGGGCTAGATCATAATAGCCGTTCCACTTTAGATTTAGATGAAGATAATGCTGGTGTTGTGTGCTTACTTACTGATCGGTTTAATAGGGTTAAACGTAGACCATCATCAACAATGTGCATGGCTAATGCGATAATTGACGGGAAGCGCGCGCCCATTCACGAAACAATAAAAATATTATAATGTAGTCGCGTGCCTTTTGTGGGTTTTTCTGCCCCCCTTATTTTCTTTTACTTCTGACAAGGTTGGTTAGACGCGAAACGTAGCGAAATACAAGCGGATACTAAAAAAAATTGACTTACACACAAGTGTATATCGATGGGCTCTTAGTTTAATTATTCAATTAAAATATGTTAGAAAATATAAAGAAATTACTTCAAAATGAATAGTATATATTGTAGCGACAATAATCAGCAGTTTTGTAATGATAGTTATCAATCCAACAATCGTTACTCTTATTTTATACTTGTTAAAAAAGATTTACAAAGCATTTATTTATTTATTTTATTTTTTAATTGTAATTAGGTAATAAACAATTTGACCCACATTCGTGACGGCAGAAATTTATTATCGGCTATAATATAAATACTACCTATAGCTAAACCTAGGTTAGTATATATTATGGAAACAATAATAGAACTTATACACACACAATAAATTAAGGTCGTATCCGATGTTAACGTTTTTTCTTTGTCATTCAAGCTGTCATCGTGTCAACAATGCAATAGTTTTAAACGCAATTTTATTGAAGCTAGTATATTGCATTTCAAAACCGAAGAGAAAACACTTCTTTAGTAATTGATTTGTATAATGAAGCAGAAAAATAGCATAGTAAGCTTCAACATCCCGTACCAATTCGTACACGAATCAAGTAATTGGATAAATGACAAGAAAATATTTTCAAGTCTATTAAACAACATTGAATGTACTACGTTATACCTTCTCGTTTATGCATTACGGTTTAAAGTTGTTTATTTTTCGATAATTTATGTTTGTTTAAAGTTAAAAGTTTATGTTCAAACATAAAATAAGTTCACAAACACAATCAACTGATTTAATTATCAATCTTATCAGTACCTGATAATATCATAAATATAGTTATAACACTTGTCACTTGCGCTTACCTTATTAAGTATATTATGTAAGTTTGTTATTAATTTCATTCCCATCTTAGTTGATTAAAATTTCGGGTTTTTCATAACAAAATAATTTTTAGTTTAATAGTATTCTATTTCGAAAATAAATTCGTATCATATGTTTTAATTTATCAGACAAAATGTATTATACTCATAAATGTAATAGGTATCTAAAGACCTAGATAATTTCAAGACATTTAATTTATTTTGTTAATTTTTTAATCCTATGTATTAATAAAAAAAAAATATCTTGAAAACACAAAAATAGAACTTTTTTAGATAATTAATTTGTTTTAAATAAATAAGTCATTTGAATGAGTTTTTTTTAATTTTAATAGTGTTACAGCGTTCAATTTTTCAGAAAGAGCTAACTCTTTAAAATATTTATATAATCTAATATATATACTTAACTTTCCTTACTATTTTAACGAGATTAAATTATTGAAGTACCTAAAAATTCTTTCAAAGTACTACATTGTATTTATTGTGTAAACATCGCATAGTAGAACAAGCCTTTCTAAATTCTATTTTTTTTTCACACTGGTGTGTTCAATACGCGTACGGCGTTTGTAAACCAAACACATAATAGACGTGTGTGTGTGTGCATCATGCGAATGTCGATAAACCCGGAGCATACGCCTTTCGAAAGCGATCTCGCTTGGAATACAAAAATTAAATAAACTGCTCATCTTTTTGCAGAGAGTGTTTTGGACAAACATTCATAACTATACCAGGTTTGTAGGCTTTAGGTGTCTGACTCTCCATATTGGTGACAAGCTAAAGTTTTTATTCAACATCCTTTTTTTGCTAATAATTAAATTTGATATCAATGATTAATTGACAATTGTTTGTTGCCCTCTTAAGAAATAAAATTAGGAAACATATTATTATGATTTTCTATATTTAATAAGAAATAAAATAAATAATTACATACCACGGGTAACATTGGGCGATTTAATAATAGCTCTCCGTAAATAATTGTGTACACGAATGAAGTTACAGTTAAAGCAAATAAATATATTTTAATGAAATACAATTCCATGTTTAATTTTTTTCCACAAAAAAAAAAATGCTCACATTTAGAGATAAAGAGATACAACCTTTATTAACGAAATATCGGTGAACTACCCAATTCATTCGAGGACACGGCCTAATCGGTGTATAATGTATGTCAGTTGTAGATAATTGTTACAGAATAATCGCAAAACATAATATTATTTATTATATATTGAATTAGTATCATATTTGGTTATATCTGTAAAAAAAAAACATTTCATTTTTGCTGGTATATTGCGCTTAATTATAGGCATGTGAAGGTCGCTATTTCCAAAAATCATGTCCATTTTGCGCAATTGTCTCTTGTTGCCAAGCGTGCCTATACTTCGCTCATGAATAAAATAATTAAAATTCCACCAGCAGCAAAAAATACTAAGAATTATTTAATACAGAAAAATGTTAAATACTCTACCTTCGTCAATTTTCTACAATTCATACTATATGTTTAGCAATTATTAGTAATTTATATTAACTTAACTAAAATATTTGTATTACCTGTTTACTACTTACACATAGCAACCTGAAAATTGACTAAAGTCAAAGTGTAATTTTCCCCTTTTTGGGGGGTTTCCTTAATCAAAGAAAAGTTTAAATACAGATTTTTGAGAAAATAGTATATATTATAGTTCCATTCTAGATGTACATTTGGTCTAATATTCATACCTAAATCCCTACATTTTTGTTTATATGAGATATAAATAAATAAAACATTTCTATCCCTTCTAGGGAAAATGGTTTATGATATTTTTTTGGTTTGTCAATGTTTATCCATGGTACTATGTTTAAAGAATATTTCAAACAAATTTGGAACTAATACAACTATCTTTAAATAAGTCCTAGTGCATTATAATTTTAAGTTGAAAAATATGTACATTTCTTTGGTGTATTTCTCGATTTTTTTAAAATTGTTGGCCCAATAAAGGATATTTTGAATATATTAGTATTTTTTTATCCTGATACTACATTACAATTAAAAGGTAGATACTTGTGTTAACGCATACATTATATACAAAATATTAAGTGCAATAATGCAATGGTTTAGTGCCTTATTACCGTTTTCTATTTACTACTAATATGAGTTTTGAACAAAGTTCTAGGAACAACTACTTTAAAAAAAAATTTCGTCTTGACTGATGCGATCTGTAGTTAAAAAAATTAAAAAATTGATTCGAAAATGATAACCAAAAAACAAGGAGTAAATTATAGGCAAACAATGCAGAAAACATGCAATAACATTGTTATGATCAATTGTGTTTACGGTATTATCGTGTTATACAATATTATTATGCTTCGATTTGTTCTGTTGTGTACAGAAAACCTTTGATGTGATAATAATATAATATCATTTTCGCATAAACATCTTTTTCCAAAACCCAAAATTTAACTATATTATAATTAGCAGTTCAATCCACAGTATCTTTGGCTTGCTCGGTTGCTCCTATTTTAGTTTGCGAGAACGGCTCAATTCTCAAATTTAATTCTTAGAAGAAGGCGAATTTTAAGGAGTTTTATGTAGGCAATATTAAAATAAATTTCTAGTTTCGACCATATTAATTTATTTTTAGGTTTCAGCGTATTACTTTCATACATAACATAAATAATGTTTCCTACCAGTTAAAGGCATTTTAAACCAATTTAGATCTAAAAGCCTGGAAAATTACTCCTACTTAAAACGATCAACTTTTAATTCTGTAAAAATATTTGAGCTCATCGTCTTTTATTCCACATTATTGTGGAAGTCGATTTTTGAAAAAACTGTTTCATTTCTTTAAGAGGACGCCACACCGCCCATTTTTAAGGAGTAAAGTATAGGCAATCTCTTACAAAATTTTAAATAAGGTTAAACTGTGATATGGAACTATTAGTTCAGTAGTTAGGACTCTTTTTTGGTAGTTAAATTATAATACGGTAGACCATCACGGCTACCTTGACAGCGTTTTAACAACAAATTTCTGCTAAGTTGAATTTTACGCGGATTAATTTTTCTCAGGCTTCATACCTATTATAATATAGTTTAGGCTATTGGGTACCGGCTAATTTTTAAGGAGTTTTGTATAGGCAATATTTAAGAATGACGGGGTTTTAATCAATTTCGACCATGTCAATTAATTTACTGGGTAATTCATACAAGCTTCGTGGTATTATTTTTAGTTCAAATAATTTTGCCTATGAGTAAAAGCCATTTTAGTTAATTTTTCCGTCAAAAACTACCCGTTTAACTAGAATCGGACCTATCATTGTATTGAAGCGATTCAATCTTATCTATCAATAGTGTCTTAACTCGTGGAAAATATTAAAACAAAATGAAAGTTTAGGTAACTCAACACTTCTACAATCCGAGTTGAACGTTATTCGAACAATATTTTACAGGTACTGTATTTTGTAAAAATTCTCTCGCCAAGTAATAATATTAAAATAATTACAAAATTGAATATATGCCAAATATTTTTCTCGGCAATTATCTAATACAAATACTAAATAAAGCGGAGGGTTTTTTTTCTGATAGGTAATTCTAATTATTAATAATCGCATCGAAATAATACTATAATATTTCTGTATTATAGATTATATAGTACGTTTCACAATAATTCTTGTTACTTATCACTTATTTCTTATCACTTCTCATGTTTCTTATCTAAATGATTCGTTCACAATGTACGATTGTGTTATAACGAACCTAATGTGATATTATACCGAATTTCAAGTTTGAATACGTACGATCCAAGGCAGACGGCAGTTGAATAATAATTGCCAGTTGTTTTAATGACATTGGCGCAGGTCAAGCCGGTAATCGCCATAAATATCTTCTTATCGTCGCACCTTGCAAGAGTCCTGTTCAAAATGAGTGCTATGAATTTGTCGATGGATCGCAAAACCGAACCTACAGCTGTTAAAGAAGACCTAGCCAAAAAGTGTGCGGGTTACGAAGCAGTCGACAAATATGTTAAAGTAAAATATTGGTTAAAATCGGCTACATTGTTTACTAGAAGTTATAATCGAATTACATTGTTTTAGACAGGCATGGCTTTAGGCGTTGGTAGCGGCTCTACGATTGTGTACAGCATACAACGACTAGGTAAGATAATGGCGTACGTTTGTTGTGTTTCATTTACATAAGTTGTATAATTTGTCTAGCGCAAAGAGTAAGAGAAGAAAAATTATCAGTCGTCTGTGTGCCGACATCCTATCAAGCTCGACAATTGATCCACGATCATGGTTTGACGTTAGGAGATTTAGATACACATCCGAAAGTATGCCACAGTAAATTATTGTCGGCTTGAGTTATTAAATGTTTTACATTATTGTGTTTTTAGTTGGACTGCACAATTGACGGTGCAGATGAGATACAAGTCGGTACTTTGACCTGTATCAAAGGCGGAGGAGGATGTCTGACGCAAGAGAAAATCGTGGCTTCTTGTTCTAACAAGCTTATTATTGTAGTTGATGGATCGTAAGTTAAATGTATATCGGTGAACGGATCTTTCACTCTTTTAAACTGACAAAATTGTGTATTTTAGTAAAGAGGCCAATCAGTTGGGACAAAAGTGGAAAAAAGGCATACCCATTGAGGTAATCCCTATGGCGTACAAACCGATTAAAATTAAAATTGAAGAAAAATATGGAGGAAAAGCAGTTTTAAGAGCATCTGCTCATAAAGCAGTAAGTAAATTAATAAAATAAAATTATAATATTTTATGATAGTATAATATAAATTAAAAATCAGGGACCCCTCGTTTCTGATAACGGCAATTTCATATTGGATTGGATATTTCCTGAAGACCGACTTTGCTGGGCTTCAGTTCATAGTTATATTAAATTGATTCCAGGTAAATTATCATTGCGATATTTTATTAATTATTACATTTATGGTTTTCAACTATATTTTTTTCTTGTAGGAGTTATTGAAACTGGATTGTTTATCGACATGACAGATGAATGTCTAGTAGGAGACGTTCAAGGTAATGTTAGAGTTCTAAAAAAGACTGAACAGAGCATTGAGCTTTAATTATAATATTTTGTTCTACAATGTACTTAGCTAATTGAACTTGTTTTATTTGTTCTCTGCCATTTTTTTTCTGATAATTTAAGGTAATAACAATTATGTTTTTTTTTTTTTTTATATTGCTTACATAATATAATAATAATTGTAAGAACATTATGTAAAGTTAAATTTTTTTTTGCTATTTCTAAAGAAAAATCAACAATGACAACCATGTGCAGTGCTAGGAGTACATTAATAATTTACACAGTGTATTTAATAAAGTACAACTATTTTATGATATTATAATTATTAATGTACACTTTTAAATAAGGTTATCACCGTTTTTATGTTTTAGAATATTAAAACTTATGTATCAAAACAACTTTTAAAATTATTTTTACATAATTGTTGTTGCTAAATGATAAGTCTTATAGTGATAATATTGTGTTTAATAAAATTTGAGGGTTAAATTTTCTCTTTTTTACTTATCTTTGTGCCTCAGTCGTGTTGCTCAGTAACGAATAATTAAAAATAAAATTTAAATATTAAATAACTAAGAATTTTGTTATAAACTATCAATTATGAATCACAAATTAATATTTTTAATCATTAACCTTTTATTTAAATATTTTTAATATTTTTTGGTGATTTTTTCATTGAAAATCTTTTTTCATTTTTTGCATCATCTAAGTAAATAAATTGTGTGAATGATGTCTAACTCCGATTGGCCAACATTCAATATAGGTGTTTAATAAAATAACACAATTCCCAATCAATTCACTACTTTTATTTAATTTTTTTTTTTTTTGCATCATTTTAAATACAATTCATATTTTTTGTTTTTTTTTTATATCTGTAATAATTAATACCGTCTATAATAATAATAATAAAAATTACTTTTTTTTTTTATAATAATTTTAATAATACCACTACAATGTAATAATTAAATACCTATATTTATATAAACACCATAAATAACGCAAGCGAAAACATATTACATACGATCAGTAAAAGTAACAATAAAAATTTCATTAAACAAACGCTTTATATTATGTAAAAATTACGCACAGTAACAACTAAATTTTACTACGTAAGACAAATCTAAACAAACTCGTGAAAATTTTGTTAAATTTATAACCTCCTCCTTCGGTATCGTTTTCCATTACAATCAAGTACACATGTATTGTTTTATATATTTTCATTATAATATAATATTAATTATTATTATCTCGTTATTTATTTAACAACATTTAATTTAATATAATTTAAAATTTTAATTAACTTTTTTTATTCAGAGGGCACAGTAATTGATATGTTTCGATTATACATTTTGGTGTGTTGTAAAACATCCAAATAAGGCGATCAAAATCACAAAATGTTTATTTACAATCATAATCCGAATATATGATAATACTTTTATCAAGAAGTAATAATTGTCTTCAACATAGCCTGTTATTCGTACTAGCGGTTAAAAATAAATAATCAGTTATCGTACATAAATAATATATCATAAAATAATTTATAAATGTTATATTATGTTAAATAGTATAATATAAGGCTACTGTTGATCACATTAAAAAAAAAAAAAAACAAATTCACAGGCCGTAAGTTGTATACAGCGCGACAAAATGTATTCATAATGATATGTATGTGTTGCATTTTAAGAAAGGCTATATTATAATATATATATATATATATATATATATATATAAAATGTTTTAATTCATATTAAGAAAAAAAAGACAAATATTAAAAAAAAAAAAAAAGAAACAATTATTAATAATAATAAAATGATCTTTTTTTTTTTTTGAGCTTAAAATGTATATAATGATTTTGTATTCAACAACTACAGCTCGTGTACGCAATTAAAAAACACAATATTCTAATAATATCAATTAATAACGAATTAATTAAAAAGAATAAGAAAACATTTTTAAATTTGGACGGATATTATATTTTGCACAAGACGTTGATGCTGGTGTTAGTGAAATAAATAAATAAATACATTTATTTATTTATATATACATATTGGAATGAGTTATTCATTAATACAAATTTGGTGGAATGTTTTTCAACGTTTGTGTCAACGTCTTTTGCTTATAATTGAGTTTACGGACACATTTCTAGTAAAAAAAACCTTTTTTGTCCACAAACACACGACAGATCTACAAAATTTACCGCAATGACCGCAAACTACCAAAAAATAAAAGTCTAATAATAAACATCCCTTACATTAATGTAATTCTGATGGTATTTTTAAAAAGTTAATTACTTAAAATAGTTTTTTACAATTTTTTTAATTGTACACCTATTGCTTAAAAATAATAATAAGAAAATTTCAATTATAATACACAATTTGAAAACAAACATCAATTTTTTTTTTTTAATTAAATATTTACACAAAGGAAACATAGGAAAAAGAACATTTTTGTTTTTGTAGACATTAATTATTGTATCTCACTGGTATAGTTAGGTAGGTACTTAAAAAATGTCTACAATCTATCTATAGTAGAACATAATCTTTGGTCTTTTTAGTTGTATATTAATAAAAATAAATATAAATAAGTAAAAATAACTAATGAATAATTAGTGTAAGGAAAAAAATCTTCGACAACAAAAGACTAAAAAAATTATTGTCCCTTAAAAATGAATAACTTAAAAAAAGATTGTCATTTTAAATAATTACTATTGTTATTATTACAATATATTATATTCGATACAATTATTAGCTTAATATGTGATCCCAGGTTCATCCTATGTACTGTTTAAAATGTTTTTTGAAAATACATAAGAATAAAAAACAAAAACAAAAATACATAATAATATCTAGAAAAGAATTCCATGAGCTGCCAAACAAGCTGCACCCTGTTAATTTGTTTGAAAAGCATAATCTACTCGTATAATAATACAATGGGCAATGGCAAGAAAACGAAACGAAACTAGTTGTATAAAAAATAGATTGCAGAATTCAATAATTTGTTATTATTAATAATAATTAATATAATAATATATAATTTAATTTGTTTAAAACAAGTTATGACTTTCCCAAACCAATATATTAAGTCGAACGAAATCGAACTTGAAAAAACAGGCCGATTGTCACCAAAAAAAATAACATGCTAGGTATATACTTAATTAAATACCCGACACGAATATTATGGTGCCCGACCGTTCGTCCAACCGTTGAAATCGGTTGTTTTATTAATCTAAGTCTTTAAAAATTTACCTATGTACAAAATATTTAACGTTAATTCCCTTTAAGCATATTATAATATTTTATACTGATATGTATGTAGTGAATGTATATGAGCGCGCTTACATATTTTATTCGTTTAATTATTGCTAAAAAATCTGAATCACGCTTACACGTGATATAGACAAATATTATGATTTTATATAAAAAAAAAAAAATATATATATATATATATTCACGAGAAACAATCACAGATTTGATGAGTCTTAAGATCGTACACTAGGTATGTTCTGCCCACTAAAAAAAAAAAAGCAAAAGGGCGATATTGTAGAGGTTATACATTAAAAAGCGTAGGGAATAAAGTTATTGGGGTACAATAAATAGGTACAAGGGTATTTATGAATATTAATAATGATAATAATAATAATAATACATTTTTTTTTTTAGGTTTTTTTTTGTGTTAAATCTACAGACATACAAGGAATTTTTTTTTTTTTACTGCTTAATGCTTTGTACAACGGCTTTAGTAAAAAAGCTTTAAAAGTAAACACAATAATAATAATAATAATCATATAAATAATAAATCGCATCGATATTATTTCCGTGGGGGCTTTGGTAGGTTGATTTTGACGTGTCGCGCGTTATCTAAACTTGGGCGGTTACCGGAAGTCTACCTGGTGGTTGTCAGGTGTTGTTCAACTGCATGTGAGTATACGTGAAATTGACGTTGTCCAATTTCTTTTGGCCAGCATACTCCCTGCAAAATAAAATAAAAATCCAAAATCAATTCTAAAAGTCTTTAATTTTGATTGTTATTAAAAAAAAAAAAAAATACACCGGAAAAATATTATGTGTTCGGTATAATATATTAGTTTTGATATGATGACTGTGTCTCAAATAAACAATTTATCGTCTGAATTCTAATCTTATTAAATAAGTAATATTTTGTTCTCGCGTGTGCATCTGTGTACGTATTTCGTAAGTATGTAAAAAATAAATTAAAAAAAATGTTTTGACCCCTCGCCTCATGATACAATATGTGCTCGGCTGTTGTAATTCTTACACCCTCCACCACCTTCTCACCTTGTTTCTATTTATATATAATTACATTATATTATGTATGAATAGGTACAAATATAATTACTATAATCTCAATCAACGTCTTCTCATTTATAGGCCGTCGGCCAGTAATTAAACGTCTGCTTCGATTGACCAAAATTTGTGGTTCTATATTAAAAAAAAAAACAATAAAAAAAAAAACCTGTCGTTTTAGTATGTAGGGGCCAAAATGTATATATCTTAGATAAACATAATCTAAACACGGTGTATAATATTATATTTATATTATGTGACGTAAATATGATGTGTGCACTTTTTTAGGTGTTCTTCGGCGTACCGAAACTAGTAACTAGTTTTTTATTTGTGTAAATTTTCAAGCAAACGATTGGAATGCCGTTAATTAATACTAGTAATAAAAAACAAAACGTATGATAACGACGGTCACGAAAACCCTCTCAAGTCGCATATCGCGAACCCACGACGACGTTATAAACTTTATTATAGCACAAAATACATAATATTATGTTTTATTACTCCTCCAATCTCCATTCAAGCTCACGCCGTGTAGTTATTACAATTATTTTTATTCCAAAGCAATACTAAAAAAAAAAAATTTTTTTAAAAAACGGTTCGATTATAACGCACAATAATATCGCAGACCAACAAAAAAAAAAATTAAAATTGTATTTTTAAAAGCAAAATATCCAATTAAACGCATTAAAAGTATAAACAGGTATTCGTGCAAATTTGTAAATTTACCAAAAAGTGCAATCATATCCATCATAACCCATATATATATATTTTTAAAACAATTTTTTTATGTAGGATTACCATCGAACGGATTAATATTAATTGTACTATAAGAATTTTGTTAATAAATTGTAGTGCAAAGATTATGTATTTTGATACTTTCAAGTTACACGGCACGTATTTAGTCTCGTTTTATAATATACGAGCCGGCGCCATTTTTTCTGAAATCACTTAAAAAAAATTAACAGCACTCAAAAAATCCAACCATTTAACCCGTAAGCACTTATATAACAAGTCTAACCTAAAAATTGTACCTATATAACAAGTCTAGTTTGAATTTTTCGCAACCGTTGCTATCTACCCAATTATAAGTATACAAATAGTTTTTAAATGCATTTAGCCTATGAAATAATTGGTTTAGCTAAAAAAAAATTGTCACGCTAAAAATGCATACTATCGAATACGATTTTTATGGTTCAATAGGTTAGTTCTTAAAGTTTTTTTTTCAAAAGTCAAGTATAGAAAATTATGTATATTTACATCGTTCTTAATTTAACATCACATAAAAATTAAGTATTTTCAACATAAACAGTAATATTAATAAAAAAAATTAAAATGTATCAAAATATTTAAGATATTTTTAGGATATCATGAAAAAAGTTTTATGAAATGTCAGTTCGTACAAATAAAGAAATATTTTTTTAATTCTTTGGAAAAATATCAAAACATATTAATTTGTTTTATTCTTTATAGCAAACAAATTACATACAAAACAAATTATTTAAGTATTACAATAATCTTAGTTGTTTTTACATTTGACTTTTAAAACTAATACTTCAAAACTAAAAGTTCCATTTGAACTTGAACAATTGAAATTATATTTAATAGTTTATTAGTATTTTCTCGTTTATGATCGCCCTATATCTCATTATATCATCAATTATCTCATTTAAATAGGTTTGGTCGGCCAAATCTGCTCTCTCCATAAATCGCAGTCACTGCTATTATATTCACATATCGCACATATTGTGTTTCAAAAGTGTGTTTCAAATATGCAATAATTATGTTAAATACATTTTTTTTGACGCCAATAAAAAATAATTATTCATGTAAACGCTTTTTGTTAAGTCTTAATTACTATCTCTCTCATACTTTGTTTTACTATTGCACTCATCTGCCTTCTTTTACCACGTCCAAACCATTTCATAATCAGTTTTTTTAAATTATTCTCAAACCATTGTTCTCCAACGGTTTTGACGTTAAACTAATTTTGCTCGTTTACCGATTAAATCTAATTAATAGTTTACCGGACTACGGTAGCCTAATACAATACGGATTTTTATTTTAAAAACTTTATTTTTGGCTTCGGCAATTATTTCATAGGAAAAAAAAATAAATCTTAATATCATGACATTCTCAAGACCCCCTTGCGACAATATTATTATAATATGATAATTTTTTTCTATTGACACACGCACACACACACAAACAAAACATAACAACTCTATATTATTATGGGTTTTTTGTGAATACATTTTTTTGGTTTTTTTTTATTTTTTATTACCACTACTGACCTGGCGAAAATGTCTTTAAGCTCGTGGTCGGACACAAACTGTCCGAGGTTGGCGACGAACAGCGTGGAACAGGGCGGCTGGGGCTGCTGCTGGTTGGGCGGCGAGGGCAGTGCGGGAGAGGGCAGGAACGGAAGGCCGTGTGGGCCCAGCGTCAACGTCGGCTGAAAACGAGCCAATCCTAATATGATTTTATTACGCTTAGTACCTTCACCGCAAGCTACTTCAAAATAAAACTATTGAGCTTATAATATATATATATATGTGTAATAATTTTTTTGTGACTGCAACTACAATAATAAAAAAAAAAAAATTTTTAAAAAGTCATAAGAGACGAACAACGACGATTAGGCCGGCGTGTAAAGTGTGGAACACAAGTATAGTACAGAGGAGAAGTCGAAGAAAACTTCTGAAACTTGCAAATTTATGCGCTATCGTTTTTTCTACACTTCCGGGTCGGTTTTTGTTAGGAAAAAAAACTAACCGGGATTATATTTTTATCCCGTCGATTAATTCTCGCCAACGAAAGATTAGCGTTTCGCGACAGATATCACAAGATACACTATACAAAAAAAATACACTATAAATTACCGACGGCTTAACCCGTTCTCAAAAGTTAAAAATAAATATGTGTAAACATCACACGCACTAAGACAGTCGGCTCTTCACGGGCACGTGCCACACTATAAATATGCCGATCCGACTGAGACATTTTCGCCAAAGTGCAGTGCGTCCGTTAGAAACTGTAGTGTAAGTGTTAAAGTGTTGATAAAAAAAAAAATCGTAATAGTAAGCTGATCCGCTAAACACCATAATGTGGTACTAATAATTTTAGAGTGCATAAGAAATTAAAATAGCATGCAAAGATACCCTTCGAAAACCAACAAGAAGGTGTACATCATAATTCAAACTTCAAAGCCTACATAATAATATAATTTATTGTATTTATGCGATTTATGCTGTATGCTTAATTTATAGTATAATTTACTATGTTCGCAACAACAAATGTATAGAAAAAAAACAGTTTTTCAAATGTTTACACTGCGAGTACGGGGATTGGCTGGACAAACGCTATTATAGTTGAATCAGCTCATGCAAAAAGGGGCACCCTGACAATAAACTTGTTTCAGTTTTTAGTCATAAAATCAAATCCAACAGTAAAATGCATCTTTTATGTTTCGCAACGAAGCTAAAAGTGAATAAAAAAGGTAACTTTTGAAACTTCCAGCTAGGTTAAAAAATTAATATCAACAAGTCCGATGGACTTGGTGCCATTATGACAAAAATAGTTATTTGTTTCAAATTTAAATCTTGGTTTTTGGCTTTTAAAAATAAACGTATAATTTCATACTACAATCTGTTCAGTTTTCATTTCGTTAACTGTATTTATTTATTAATTTCTTATTTGTTTTACGTGTCGCATTTTTGGGAGAATTAAATATTTCATTTTTTTACTCCTAGTAATGCGACAAGTCAAGTTTTAGCATTGATCAATAAACTGAGGCCTTTTTTTATAAACTGATTCAATATTATAGCATTGTGTATACATATCAAGAAAAACAATTTAAACAAGTGCGGTACAAAATTGTTTGTTGAAATGGTTTATTTTTTTAAACACAGTCACGGTTTTGTTGTAAATCGTTACAGACAGCGACCAACGACAGTCACGGATTTACCGGAGGATGGTGACGATTTAAAGTGTGTCCATGCAAATTAATTACCCGAGAGAGCGCACGTTACCCTTATAATGACTGGTATTAGGTATACCGCGTCAACATAACAGTAATAATTATTCTAATTGCACGTTCTGAGAGTCTTTAAAACAAAAAAAAACTAATAAGATCCCAAACGGCCACGGAGCCGTTACACAACCAAATGCGCGTTGTAACGTTGACAGGACTTAATGTAATAACATAAAAAATATTCTACAAAATTTTGTGGAGAGAGAGAGAGAGAGCTAGTTGGCTAATGATGGTAAATAATGTATTACAACGCCAAGCAGCCGGGCTTGGGTTCAAAATAGTAAATTATTTTTATGGTAACCGTATAGTGTACCAATGAAAATTATTTCCGAAAAACAAAATATACTTTTACGCATGTTTTTTTTTATGGCCATTGCGTAATAACATAATATTATAGTAGACCAACAACAGACAGGACAAAAATATAAGCGACAACTATAAACGACGTCGTATAGCTGATGCGGTATCATAAACGCGTCATAGTATTTGTTTTTAATTCCGTCTGCTACCTTTTACAATGTCAATACTACAGGCGTTAGTTAATCCCATTAACCGTACATTATTGTGTTACACGGGAGTGATTAGAAGCGAAGCGTATTGGTTCTAAGTGTTCGACACGGTTAAAACTTAAAAGGCACTATATTATATTTCTACAAGCGGTCGACAACTATGATAGGATGTTCATAATCAATATTGTCGTTATCAGTTGTAAGTCATACGTTACCTGTTGAGGGTGTGGATGCAGCGCCGGATGTACGAGAGCGGCGTGCTGCAGGGCCGAGGCCGTTGCTGCTGTCGGCATGTCAGCATAGGCCAACGGGTGATGCCATAGTTCTGCCGGAGCACCGGTGAAAAACGGGGCGCCTAAATCTGTAGAGAATAAAAATATAGTTAGCCGAAAGTTCTTAGATCAAAAGATAAGTGTCATGTAGTAGTGTCATGCAAATCATTCGAGTACTCGTCGAAACCGACTGGACTGTTGTGCACCTGATTTGTCTGATCAGAGTCAATCCCTACCATCACTTGGAGTCCGGGTTTACATACAGAACTCCTTACATAATATGGTTCATATTCAATATAATTTCGGCAAGTTCCAATTTGAATACTTCTTCGGAGCTCCCAATTTGGATGGCACAGATTTTGATAGGAGTGTGCATTCGGATTGAAAGTTATGTAAGTGTAAATGTGTTACTAAGGCTTAGAATAAGGTAACTAAAAATAATTGGTCACTTTTCGGTAGTTTTCATAGTAAAGTTTTGAAATCCACGAAGGCAAAGCCAGTGTCTATATTTAGACACTGGCTCTTTTATATCTAACAAACGTTTACAGTTATTAATTTTTCAGACAGGTAGTTGGAACGTTTTATGATGAAATTTACACAGACAAGGAAAACCATAGGTGTTAGCTGCGACACACTTTTCTGTGTAAATGCTATTTAGATAATATGTGTAGGTACTATTGATTGAATGCATACGCCCAATAATCTGGATGCAATAACTACTACTCAAGTCCGATCACACTGACGAGTCTAAGTCTTGTTATTATCAAGTCACAGTCCATTTCGGCGAGTGCCTCCGAATGAAAAACACTAACGTTTAGGAAATATACAATATGGTACAACGCAATGTAGTTACAAAGACCCGAGTGCTAATTATATTTTGATTAGACAAACGGCTGCAGTGCTGTTTATCGCGTAAACGCGTTAGGTTTGAGGGGGAGGGGGTTGTTTTTTAAAATTTTTTTTTTTTTACTTACGTCCGGTGAGCGGGTGCATCAGGCCTTGGTGCGTGTTGGGCGTGACGTTTGCGTTGGCGGGCTGTTTTGGCTTGCTAACCTTCGTGTTGCTTTTAGCGAACTCTAGCCGTATGGTTTGCGGCATGTCGGGATCGAACCGGACGCCCTGCTGCCGAAACCAAACACACAACAATACAGTGCTACCATCCCGTGGGCATGGACGGGACGGGTCGTTTTCATCAAGCGTTTGGAGAGAGAAACGAAGTGAAATTTCAGAAAAATTGTCCTCGCACCGCTTAAATGAGAACCACCCGTTCTGCCTTAATATATATGTATATATATATATATCGTTTAAGAGTACATTTTGTAAATATTAAAAATGAGTTATTATAAATTGTACATTATATTATTATCTCGGTATAGACGTATAGACCATTGTGCGTCATGTCTTTGGTTGTATGTATTACGGCTACGACTATCCGTTGATACTAATTTACTTTGTGCATTGTTTTTGTAGATGGTAAAATAATTACAAAAAATATATGCATTCGGTACTACGGTTTTGGGTAAAAAGCCCGCGGCTACGCTGGAGTTGGAGGGACTATGTTCGTCCTCTGTTCCCTCCTTGGCTGTCAAAAGTTCAACGTTTACACAAAGAGCCGGGCTAAATTGTATTACATTATTCTTATAGTAAAAAAAAAAAAACAATATTAATAACGGTCTCGCGTGGGGGAACTACTCCGAGCGGAGGGTGAAAAAGTAAGCGTTTTCAAGTAAGCGAATATATCGAAAAGCCATCAGTCTTGTACAGAAGTGGCCAAATGATATTTTTTATAACAGGTATATATTTAAATATTATTTAGAACCATATTAAGGGTTAGCGGTTAGAGTTTTTCACTTTTTTTCGTTGTAATTTTTAACACTTGGCCAGTGTTTGCATTAGGAAACGATACACTGCGAAAACTGTCTCTGTTTTCTGTTATTTCCCAACAGATAACGCGCCGTAACCATCTACCTCGACCGACCAATGATTTTATACGTCTCTATACGGTTTGTTATAATATTCATTACGTTTCCGGGTCATAAACTCTCTGGCGTAACGCACGTTAGTGAACTGAATGTCGCCGAATCTACTACTCGACGCCAGGCAGTGTAGTCAGAAGGCATAGCTGCTAAATTAGCGCAACGCCATCGCCGGTACACGTATTTGTATGCCGGCTTGCTCCCCGACCCCTTGATTATAACTATGTATATCAAAATGACGTGTATAAGGCTACTGATGATTGAGTTGTTAACGATAATAAAAAAAAAAAAAAAAAACAATGCTATTGTGATGACACCGAACGGCGTTCAGTGAGTGAGTGATAAGCGTAATACATAATATTATACATATTAACAATTGTTAATACTATAAACCAAACTAATTAGAGTTGGGCGAACAAAGTTTTGTCTAAGTACATAATATTATTGTAGCGAGTGAAATAAAAACATTCCCAACTCTGAATCAGAACAACCCTCAAAGACTGTAGTATAATATCCTATACGTATTCCTTACTCAATAGACTCGGATAGGAAAAAAAATAAGGAGTAATATAACAGGCTTTGTCTCATGAAAATCTCACTAGTATAGTTATGGCTCATTATACTTTAACTAGAGGTTTTTTTTAGATAAAAAGAGAAAGTATGGTTTTCAAAAATGTACTAACTGTTTAACGACAACAGACGCTTCAAATCCAAAGAGTTTATCACACCGAATTGATATTTATAAAATAAATGTACACACAAATTTTAATATTGTATTATTAGAAAATAAAAATACATTTATGAACACTATTTAGTTAAACGCACCTGAAGATCTTGTTTAGCTGCTTCGGCGCCAGCGCGCGTTTGGAAAGTGACAAAACCAACTGGCTGTAAAAAATTAAAAAAAAAAAACATTTTAGACAATGACAAAAAAAACTATATCTTTTTATCTTTTAGTACTCACCGAAGCCGTTTTTCCGTTTTTGCTTGTCACCTTTAATAGAGATCCTTCGTAACCCTAAAAAGTAATAAACGACCATTTAAATTTATATATATATATATTAACCTTTAATGTTTCACCAGACAAAACTAAACACTATGGACAGTAAAAACGACTAAAGTCTTCTACCGCGTTACACGTTTTTGTCAAAATGAAATAACTGTTTTGAAGAATGTCGTAAGCAGTAGTTACAGGTACTTAATATGTCGGAAATACTATGTCATATACGCTTTCACTATGATCTCGGGTTAAAGTAATGGCAAATACAATATTTTTTTATAATTGAGTATGCCTATGTATTATATTAATACATTATTTGCCCGGATTCAATTGACCGTTAAACAATTTTCGAGTAACTTTTTTTAAATCATAAATCACATTTTGTTAAAATGAATATGTTTTCATTAACTAATAATTATTGGTTGACCGTTGTAAATTATTTTTGGATATTTTGAAAAATAATATAGTCAATACTTTCAATGATAACTTGAAATGTCTGTATAAAATAAAACTTGTCAAATTTATTGAAGAGTAAGTAAAAGTTTATTGACGGCCGAAGACACTTTTAACGCCACGTACAAGGGCAAGGAATAAAAATGTTTTTAGGGTTTTCCTTTTAAGTAAAAAATCAGGTCAACTTAAAATACTGGGTTAAGCGTTGTTGTTTGTTCTTTCGAACAACGTTGAAGCTACATTTAAAAATTTGATTGGTTTATATAATATAACAGTATACACATCGTTTTCACTTGATATATATATATATTTTTTACATTTAATTATTATACTAAAGATAAACAGATGGTTTATGAGTTATGATAATATTCCGGCTGTACCAACCTACACTTATTTACTTCAATGTGATATATATATATATATATATATATATTTCATATGACAATTTTACAATATTGGTATGTGTTCTGTAAATAAGCTCAAATTCTTACATTAAAAACAAAGTATGATAACGAATAATGCATCTTGTGTAAGTAACCTGACGGTTTTTTAAAAATAATAATATTATGAAAGATTTCAAAAAATAACTATTGTTGCGGTTTTAATGAGCATCTGTGGTTTAACTGATCTATTATTACCTATATATATATAGATTATAAAATCTGAACAGGGTCATATGGCCGTGACTATATCGTTTTGATTTGAATTTATATGATTTATTTAATTCGTACATCTAAATGTCATTCGACCGCCTGTACCTATACTAAATCATATTCAAGTAGATTATTAAAGAATATCACTGCGGTGTCTTGGGAGTTTGCCAATAGCTGTGTCAAAAATGATAAATAAATCAAACGACATGGGAATATTGAAACTTGGTAAATACGACGACGACGACGTTCTTGACATATTTTCCGATACTCGACGCCTCGCGTTTACATACTTAGTATACATGTTATATTGTACAAAACTAAGTAAGAAGTAAGTAATAATACATGTTTAAATAAAATCACCTCATATGCTCGGAACAGCAAGTAAAGCTCTCGTGGCTTGGCGTCCATTGGCAGGCCGCTGACAAATAATGTTCTGACCTGGAAAACACAAAGCACAAAAACAAATTAGTCTATGCTTTTCATTATTATAAATAACAATACAGTATATTAGTTGGTGTTTTTTTTTTTTTTTGCCCCGTCGATTTTCGACAAACAGACGAATTTGCTTTGGCATTTGGGCTTTTCCCTCGTGCTATATATATATTATACTTGTATATATATTTCTAAAAAGGCAATAGGGAAACCGCCCTTGCGTGTCTACAACGGCAATGTGCGTGACAAACGTAATTTCTATTCGACCCGAGAGTTTTTTTTGTTTGTCCATTAAGTCAAATACAATTTGTGCTTTTCGGGCGGCGTATTTGCTAAAAAATAAACCAATGTAAAAGTCCGATTACATAAAATGAAAACATTTTGTTATAACAACAATGTGTATTTTAATATTGTACAATAATATGAATTGACCTAAACGGGGTCGCGCCATTTTCGGTAAAAAGGAAATGTACCTTCTTAATAAATTGTAGCAAAACTTAATGTACAATTATTATCGATTAAGCGTTTTTTTTTTCACGATTATTTCGGTTCGACGTTGGCTGTTTTTTTTGTGTAAGTTTTTTTTTCTACTACAGACTTTATAATATGACCGTGTACGTACATAATATTATCGTTACGAAGAGGGGTCGGTAGAACAAAAGCAGCAAAAGCCACGGGCAATGTGCTTGGAACTCATTGTTTTCAAAAGGTCATCGTCGTGTCAGGTCGGGCGAGAAGGATTCGTGACTTTTCGATCCGAACCGAAAGGTCTGGGTACGGCACGAAAGAGCTACCACTCGACGGCGGCGCAAACGGGGAGAAATAAAAAAGGAAAAATAATAATAATACAAACAAACCCTCTTCACACGTAGTGTTGGGTAAGTCCTGGTAAGGACTTTTTTTTGTTTAAGAGGCACTGCCAAGAAGAAAAGAAAAGTGTCACCGGGGACGTTTAAACGCGATAAGGGCCGGCGAAGATAAAAGTATCTCGGCTAGCCAGAGAATTCTAAGGCGCTTAGCTACAGTATATATATATATAAATAGACATGGCAATTATTTGGCAAAAAGATATAAAAGATAAAATGTAAAAATTCTCGGTGTCCCCGAGGGAACGCCGAAATATTATTAAATTTTCAACGCGTTAGGCACCCATCATAAACTTTCAAAAAGGGTTTGCTTGTCTTATGAAGTGCTCAAGTCCGCGCCCAGTCAGCTCAAGCGGTTATCGGGTGTACACGTCTTGCTTAACAATAATTATCAAAATAATTAACCGGCGACCTAAGCAAATAATACCCAAAAGCTATACACACAGTCAGCAAAACCTTTGTTTCTGAAGTTAACTAGTGTATTTTTGTATTGAAAAATAAATTAATACAACTTTATTGATCGGCTCCTAAATAATTATTATCAAAGTCTTGTGCAAGATAATACTTAAAAAATATGTGTTTGTTGATGTTTTTTTTTTGTGTAGTTTTGCCGTGCACTATACCTAACAAAAAAACAGATGTTGCATTGGATTTATTACTATATATACAATTTTTTTTTGTCGGCAGCGAGCACGAAGGCGTTAATACAACGTATTAAAAAACGTATACATACGGCGAATAAACCGAATTAATTTCATACAGTCATATTGTCACAATAAAAAAAAGCGAGCGGAGTGCGGACAGGTGACTAAAATCGTGACACGGCGAGTAGGAGGGGGAGAGAGTAGTCGACTAGTATCCATGGTAACGTTGTTATCAACACAACCGACACTAGTCGATAACACTTTTTATTAATGTAACCAAAAACTCGTTTGACCGTACTAAGAGAATAAATTATTCACGAGCAATTTCTCAGACCGTACATGTTTGTTGAATGTAATGTAAGCCAAAACACGACGTTTTAAACGCCACAATAAAAGCCATACCCTTTATAGGGTGTATTATAGATGCAAGTGGTCTTTAGTTTAAAAACCAAAAAAAAAAAAATCTAAAAACAAATGGCTCGTATATTTTTTTTCAAAGGTCCTGTACACAGAATATACTTTGCACATGAAAGTTTTTATAAATAATAATGATGGAGCGTTGAGCTTTATAGCTAAAAAAAAAGGTTAATCCTCCCTCGCCATTCTGCTTATTTAAAACTGGGATTGCATTTTTAAATAGCTTTCTCTCCTCTTGATTTTTTGTAGATAGAGTAGTGCGAGAATAGGGCGAACTGACTACGACAGCAATTTGCTGACTGTCAACAAAAAGCTTTACCAGCAACACAGACACGAGCAATTTTTTCCCCTCTCTGCAAACACGATGACAAAGTTGAAGATAGATTGTGATAGCCAAATGGGAAAAATATAAAAAGAATAATTATAAAGGCACAACGGCGTTGAGTACCATTGGAATGAACACCCGATGATGATGGCAAAAATAACACAACACAAACCTTCTCGGTTCTCCCCTAAACAATAACAACTCGCAGAGTTTTACGAGCAGCGAGATGAAAGAAAACTAGAAAAATATTCAAGCACGTAAAAAACACTGACAATTAAAATGTCACAGCAAAAGACGGCAACATTATGTTTTCATATATCATTTTGCTCCAGCTATTTTATCGTTTACACCCGTTACACGTGATCGTTTTCTGGGAAAATAATTATTAGGCAAACGAAACGCCTTCGTTTGTGCATTTGTCAGAATCCATCACATTCAACATTCCCGCAAGAACCTGTATAATGTAAAGTTGACAAATAACACAAAAACTATCTTTAAATTATACGTTGACCATCTGGGCTAAAGTTCGTGCGCTGAAGCAATAACGGGAATGAAAACGTTATATTGTCTCTTTAATGATATTTTTTTTTTAGAATAAACCATATATTATTTATTATATTTATAATATAATTTAATAAATGCCCAGGCGTATACGCACGTGTACTACGCAAAGGCCTTAAATATAATATATTTCATAACTGCCGGGCGGCCAATGATGGATGATGTAATAGCCGACTGATGATTTTTGATTGATGAAAAGGGCAAAAAGTAAATGACAAACCACAAGGGTAAAGGGGTTATTATTGTATATATTTGAATATCTCACGGCCGAAATTTCCCGACTTGATAAATGCGTTTGGATATTCACGATTTATGGATTCGGAAACATATTATATTATTATAATTTATTCGGTTTGTCAGTTGCGAGTTTTAAAATTATTACTGTTTCCACTCGTTATCAGCGAGTACGGCGAGACTTACACTCCCGTAATTAGCTGCTATACCGACCACAACACTATTGCATAGTTTTTATTTGAAATAAAATACACGATTAATCATAGAGAAAACGGTACAAGCCGCGTGAAAATTGTTATTTTACACGGTAGTCGAATATTCTGCCGGGCCAAACTCAATTTATTATACCATATCAAACACAAACCTTGACACGTCGTAGGACTTCTATTCTGGTATACGCTTATGCTGTATAGATTCTAGTCGTCCTGACTGTGTGTTTCACACGACGGCTTGCCGACCGACCCTGTCCCGGGTCCATCCATTACAAGTACGCCGGAGGGGAGGGTTTATGATAAAAAAAAAAAAAAATAGAAGAAGAAACGATTGTGTCGCGGCCGTCTTATTCGAATCGTTCGTTTATTATTAATATATAGTAACTACACCGTAGAAGTCGTAGAAGTAGTTGTGACAGCGCAGTTGTAGTAGGGTCGTATAGTAACGGTAATGGTTGTAGTATATAGAAGATAGGCCCAAAGTCATTAGTCACGTCCTTTGAATGGGGTAAACGATGGGGGCGGCGGTGGCGAAATGGTAGAGAAAAAGAGTAGTAGTGGGCACGACCACCGCCGCAGCGGGTGACGGTACCAGTGTCGAACGAGCACGGTGGCAATACGTGTTTGCCGACAATTTGTCATGGATTTGTATTGTGCGGCTTATAAAATAATAATAATATACGGTATAAATTGTACTGTAATAATATACAAATAACAACCTGTAATCGCGACGAGGTGGCATGTTAAACAATTGGCCAGAAAATATGCCTTTGTTATAGCCGTCTATCTATTTGCTAGAGCGCCCATTTCGCGTACGGTTTTGTCGATACTTTGCCGACTCACCGGCAGGCGTTCGGAAAAATATATTAGCCGTTTAGCCGACTGGGGCCGATCGGTTTCGGGTGGACAGGTGGGTCAGGCAAAGCCGACGGCCGTCGTTTTTGACGAGACGTTTCCGGGGAAGAAGGCAAAAGTTTTGGAAACTGAGAAGGAGCACGAGGATAAGTCTACCGAGGGCAGGTATACGCGACGTGGGTTCACCGGACCCGCAATCCTACGGGTATGGCGCGGAGGAGGTGGCCGTGACCCGGGGGATGGATCAATAGCGTGGCCGCATGCCTTGCTATACGTGTGTGTGCGTGTGTATTATCGCAGTGGTATAGTATATATATATTATATATATATATATACACACTTGCCGTGTTACCAGAGTAGGTATACGCCGTTGTTCTTACCCTCGACTCACGTTGGAAACGCGTTATTATTATTTAAACGCGATAATAAATAGTTAAGACCCCAGATTCTCCACCGCGGCGCCAACACCCCCGCCATGTCACGAGATTTCCAAGAGGATCCTCCGTGTATGGAGCTTTAATAAATACTGTCGGTTGGTTTTGGACACCCGAAGAGTTCAATGCTCCGTGCATCGCGGCCGTATATAATTTAAGTACACACCAGGCCACGATTGAAATTTAAACGTCTTCGTTTATATATGATAAAGAGTTAACCCGCAAGCGAGTCCACTGAAGCCTCGAGCTTCCGATGCTATAGTGATTCATTTCTAATATACCGAATCGTACAAGGCTTGCCGAATAAATGTTCAAGACCCGACACCGGGTATTATGGTCAGCGAGTGACGCCGAGCCGACAAACTGACGCCGTTTGATGGCTTCTTCAATGAAAAATTACAACTTTTCAGGCTTCCTAATTGTTAACCCTGACTGCCGGTCGCAAAACAATTATTTGG